AGTGTTTCGGGTGTTGCGGACAGCTTAATGTGGCATATTGTGAGGATCCTATTCTCGAATGTGGGCTCGACAGACCTACTTGATGAGTTTCCTTGTGAGTGAGTTCATAGGTGCCTTTAAGTTGAGTGTGGCTTCCTTGTGAGTGAGTTCATAGGTGCCTTTAAGTTGAGTGTAGCGAAGGGATTTTATCGCTTCTTAGAGTTGAAGGAACACGAGGCTAGACGAACTAGCTACTTTGGTTTACCTTTGCCAATTATATAATCTATTATCTAGAAATCAGTAAGTAGTAGCCTCGATTTGAGATCTAATTAGATACGGGATTGACGACTAGAATTGAACAAACTGCTTTAGCTGTTAAGGGAAGGAATTTTTAAAACGTTACGGCAGCCAGCAGTACTGAATAAAAACTTGTTCTTTGAGTTTAAGAAACACAGGTTACTCAAATTGATCAACTTGTTCTCTCCAAGTAGTGCTATACTTGTCAATTGGCCTTGCAATGCTATGCTTCCTCGGCGCAGCTTCGTGTTTGCGGTGTTTTTACCGATGTACAAGCTTGATTCATATATCTAAGGGAAAATTTCATAAGTGAGAGATTAATTATGCTACATTTTAAAAACAAGAAAACAAGTTTCAAATTTCAAAAATCAGATTTTTATTAAAAAATCATTTATAGTTTAATTAATTAATTTTAGTAATTAAATATATTTAAGTCACGTATTTATATAATTTGGTCACAAATTGATGATTTAATTCGTCGCTTATTATTTTTTGGTCACAAATCAGAAATTTTATGTCACAAATTATTTTACGGTCACAATTCAAAAATTTTATAGGTCACAGTTTGTTTATCGGTCACAAATCGAAAAATTTATAAGTCACAATTTATTTATTGGTCACAAATTACAAATATTACAAGTCACAGCTTATTATACAGTCACAAATTATCAAATTATCGGTCACAGAGTTTAGGTCACACATTATTTTTTTGTCACAATTTATCTTTTTCATTGATCACATATTAGTTAAATATATTTAAGTCACATATTTATTTAATTTGGTCACAAATTGATGATTTAGTCCCCCACTTATTATTTTTTGATCACAAATCAAAAATTTTATATCACAAATTATTTTACGGTCACAATTCAAAAATTTTATAAGTCACAGTTTGTTCATCGGTCACAAATCGAAAAATTTATAAGTCGCGATTTATTTGTTGGTCACAAATTATAAATATTACAAGTCACAACTTATTATACAGTCACAAATTATCGGTCACAGATTAACAATTTTTTAGGTCACACATTATTTTTCGATCGCAATTTATTTTTTTCATTTGTCACATATTATTTATTGGTCACAGATTAACCAATTTAATGGTCACAATCAACCAAATAATTTATGACCACCACCAATACTAATGAAAACCTCCGCATTCGACACCACCACCACTGTTGCTGCCAGATTATTGCCACCACCTAAGAGCAACACTGAAAAACAAATCGCCAAAACCACCAACACAGATCCATCGAACTGCAACCGCCATCAACCATTTGCGATCCCCGTTGTGATCTGTAACCCCCACCATACCCGCAATCGCCATCAACCACTGCACCTGGCTAGATCCACCATCGCAGCCCACCGTCACATACCACCTATCGCTAGAGTCATCGTCCAATAGCCATTAGCAAAAAATAAAAAATAAAAAAACCATCGCAGCCGCCATCAATCACTGCACCTCACTGTCGTTGTCACCACCGCAGGTCCACCCTCAAACACCACCGATCTCTAGAGCCACCATCCAACAACCAATTGCAAAAAAAAAAAAAAAAAAAAAAAAAAAAAAAAAGGGGGCTACTCACAGAAACGAGCTCCGCTTTGGTCTTCACGGACAGCAGCAGCAGCGGTCTGCTTTATTTGGAAGGCGATTGACGCTTCTTCTGGTGGGCGACGCTGTGAATGGCTTCTGTGCAAAGGAGGAGAGAAGGTGAAGAGATGAATAACATCGGCTACTGGGGAGGATGAGCGAGAGAAGACGAAGAGAGAGAGAGAGAGAGAGAGAGAGAGAGAGAGAGTTATAGGGTTTGGGATATAAAATGTATATTTAACATTAATATTTAAATATGCTATATTTGATTTTTGAAAGATTAAAGTTCCCATATGATTTTAGAATTCATGATTTTAATGTTAGGATTTTGTGTAATTACCACTATATCTAATCGAATTCTTGGCCCACTTAACAAAAGAAAAGGGAAAAACACCATTTGAATAGTCCTTTTGGCCAATGCAAATCACTTTTTTGGTAAGTGTTTATTTATAAATTTGTTGGGAATTTATTTAATCAGGGGAAATTAAACAAAATTTTCAATTCTCATCAAATATCTTCTTTGTGCTTAAATAGAAATTATGATAGAAGGTTATATCTTTGTTGAATTATGCAAACTCAATTAATTAATTGGTAAATCTTGTTCTTCTATGTTATACATGTGACAGAAAATGTCACGTGGTATGACAAAAATTAAATTTGTTCGTCTATCGTGAAACTATAATCATTTCATCACTATGATCTGATCAATTACGAGATATGTATATGTGTCAATCTTAATATCAATGTTATTTTTCATTCCACTGTTGAGTCAATATAAGTCAAAATTCCTTTTCGATTTATGAGTATACTAGGATCAAGGATTTCGTTATCGACTTAATTGA